AGCCATTTTCAGTGCCATTTAACATGTATGGCAGCACGGTAGCCAGCCACTAAGGTGGCCCTTAATGATTTCTACCTCCTGGTATCTGCACTCTTAACAAAGTTCGCGCGCACACTGAATATGGCTGACCTGTGAAACCATGGGATGTTGCAATTGACAATACGGGACTTCTGAGGCTAGGTCGTAAAAGACATTGGTGGTTTCTACGTTGCTCCTAGACCACTTGCCCTGCTGAAAACCAGCTGCTGTATCATGAGGACACTCAAACAGTACTATGGAGAGGTCCATGTGGTAAGGAACTGGGGCCTCCTGCCAACAGCTTGCACAAACTTGCCAGCCGGGGCTCCTCCAGCCCTGGCCAAGCCTTCACATGATTTCAGTCTCATGAGAGACCCCAAACCAGAACCACCCAGCTAGGACGCTCTCAAATTCCTAACTCACAGAAACTGTGAGATGATAAATGTTAATTGTTGTTTTGAGGAGAGAGGCTATTTCTCTTACTGTCTCTGAAGACAAAGAAGAAGTAAAAGCTGAAAAACAACAGGAATGAAGTCAGTGGCAAGACCAACTGGACGCCACTGACCAGGCCTGAGGTTAAAGATAACCCCCCCGCCCCGCCCCACCCCCGCCACTGTAACCACATGTGTTACCTATAGATCACTTGCTCAATCTATCACAACCCTTTCATGTGGACCCCGTTAGAGTTGTAAGCCCTTAAAAGGGCCAGGAACTTCTCCTCCGGAGAGTTTGGTTCTTGAGACGCAAGTCTGCCGACGCTCCTGGCCAAGTAAAGTCTCTTCCTTCTTTAACCCGGTATCTGAGAGGTTTTGTCTGCAGCTTGTCCTGCTACAGTTTTAAGCCATTAAGTTTGGGAATAATTTGTTACACAACAAAAGACAACTAATACAGACCTATTGGGAGGGGAGGAGCCACAGTATTTTATAGTTCTTCTAATCAAGATGTGAAGTCTACAGTCTAGCTCTCTACTCTAGAATTTGGATTTGGCTGACGGGTCATTATAGAAAGATTACAGACGTAAGGCTTAAAAAGCGCTTGTGCAGGCAGGGCGCGGTGGCTCACGCCTATAATCCCAGCACTTTGGGAGGTCGAGGTGGGCGGATCACCTGAGGTCAGGAGTTTGAGACCAGCCTGCCCAACATGGTGAAACCCCGTCTCTACTAAAATTATAAAAATTAGCCAGGCATAGTGGCAGGCACCTGTAATCCCAGCTATTTGGAAGGCTGAGGCAGGAGAATTGCTTGAACCTGGAAGGCGGAGATTGCAGTGAGCCGAGATTATACCACTGCACTCCAGACTGGGTGAGAGTGAGACTCCATCTCAAAAAAAAAAAAAAAAAAAAATTGCTTGTGCAATTGAGTCTTGCCCTCTCTTGCTCCTGGGAACTCTGCAATTATCACCATATAATTTAGCTAGGCTTGTCTGCTGAAGACACGTGGTCCCATCATCCCAGCTATCAGCCAGCATCAAGCAGACGAGAGTGAGACCATCCCAAACTTTCCAGCCCAAGCTGAACTGGCTCAGAAGAGCTAATCCACAGGATGATGAGAATTAATCAATGTTTGTTTTTTAAAGCTATCAAAGTTTTCAGGTAATTTGTTACACAGCATAAGCTAATTGATATAGCATATTTACTTTGTGTGCACCTCCTGCCTCAACCTCCCCACCCTAACCAGGAAACTATTGATGTGTTACAAGAACACTACAGGATGTGTTCAAAGCCTGGTTACCTCCTAACTTTACCTGGTCTCGGGCAAGTTAATTTACCTCTTTCAGCCTCAGTTTTCCTCATCTTCAAATTGGAGATAACAGTAGGTAATAGCACCTAGCTTGGTGCGATCTCGGCTCACTGCAACCTCTGCCTCCTGGGTTCAAGCGATTCTCCTGCCTCAGCCTCCCAAGTAGCTGGGATTACAGGCACGTGCTACGACACCTGGTTAATTTTTGTATTTTTAGTAGAGACGGGGTTTCACCATGTTGGCCAGGCTGGTCTCAAACTCCTGACCTCAAGTGATCTACCCGCCTTGGCCTCCCAGAGTGTTACAGGTGTGAGCCACCATGCCTGGCTGTACCTAGCTCTTAAAGTTCATGTGACAATTAATTGAGATGAACTACATAATGTGCTTAGCACACAGTGCTCACATAAATCATTAATGAAGGTAACAGGAAAAAAGTCAAAATGAGTAGATCTCCTGGGTAAGGCCTGGGTTGGTCCTTCAATAGTATAGTCTTGGCCAGGCGCAGTGGCTTAAGCCTGTAATCCTAGCACTTTGGGAGGCCGAGACAGGCGGATCACGAGGCCAGGAGATCGAGACCATCCTGGCTAACACGGTGAAACCCCGTCTCTACTAAAAAATACAAAAAACTAGCCAGGCGAGGTGGCAGGCACCTGTAGTCCCAGCTACTCGGGAGGCTGAGGCAGGAGAATGGCGTGAACCCGGGAGGCGGAGCTTGCAGTGAGCTGAGATCCGGCCACTGCACTCCAGCCTGGGCGACACAGGAGACTCAGTTTCAAAAAAAAAAAAAAAAAAAAAAGGACAGTTTTTCCAAAGAAAGGCTACCAAGAGTATCAGTCAAGTAAACATTTATTATGTTTGCCACATTCCAGGTCCCTTACCTGAAACTGACCTAAAAGCAGGAATAATTCATGGCACTGAGCTATTTTGAACCAGAACCAAGCTTGCTTATTGCACAAGTAACTAAAGTAGGACATCAAAATATTTTTGTTTTTATTTTTTTGAGACAGTCTTGCTCTGTCACCCAGGCTGGAGTGCAGTGGCATGATGACAGCTCACTGCAGCCTCACCCTCCCAGGCTCAGGAGATCCTTCCACTTCAGCCTCCCAAATAGCTGGAACCACAGGCATGAGCCACCATGTCGGGCTAATATTTTTTATTATTTTTGTAAAGATGGGGTCTCCCTATGTTGCCCAGGCTAGTCTCAAACTCCTGGGCTCAAGTGATCCTCCCACCTTGGCCTCCCAAAAGTGCTGAGATTACAGGCATGAGGCAATGCACATGGCCCAAAAAATATTTCTGAATAGAACTTGAAAATATGGATATTTTGGTCTATATTTCACCAGCCCCACTGAGCACTCCAGAGCCAGATGTGAAGGGAAGAGAGTAGCCAGGGTATCCCATAACTCTTTCTGTATCCTGTCTTTTCCCCACCAGGGAGTAGGAAAACATTCTATCCTGAAAACAAGATTATTTCACCTCCTTTTAATTATTTTGATCTCAATCCACAATATGAAAAACACATCATATTGTGCCTGAATACAAACTCAAAACTGAAACAAAAGTTTCATCAATTGAGACTTGAAATGTGTGATACATTGTTTTTTTTGTTTTGTTTTGTTTTTTTGTATTTTTTTTTTTTAAACGTTGATCACAATTTTCTATAAACGGATTTTAAAACCTATTGACAGGCCAACACCAGCTGTTTGAAAAAAAAAATACTCTGAAGTATCACATGGGGGAGGAATCCCTTCACTTCACAGGGGGTAAACTGGGTCTCAGAGAGATCAAGTCAGTTGCTCAAGGCCACGCAGCTAGTAAGTGGCTGTGGTTGGATCTGACCGTAATAACCATTGGGTACTGAATGCCTATCATGTGTCAGCCATTTGCTGAGTTCTTTTTTCTTTTTGAGACGGAGTCTTGCTCTGTCGTCAGGCTGGAGTGCAGTGGCGCGATCTCGGCTCAACTGCAACCTCCGCCTCCCGGGTTCAAGCGATTCTGCTGCTTCAGCCTCCCGAGTAGCTGGGACTACAGGCTCGCGCCACCACGCCTGGCTAATTTTTGTATTTTTAGTAGAGACGGGGTTTCCCCATGTTGGCTAGGATGGTCTCCATCTCTTGACCTCGTGATCCGCCCGCCTCGGCCTCCCAAAGTGCTGGGATTACAGGCGTGAACCACCGCGACCGGCCTGCTGAGTTCTTTAATTGCATTATTTCATTTAATACTCACTGTGATCCTATGAAACAGATACTATTCTTTCCACCTTACAGACGAGGAAACGGAGTCTCAGAATAGGGGAAATGACTTAAGGTGTCACAACGGCCAGTAGCAGGCCCAGGACTAGTATCTAGGTCTGGCCGTGCACAAAGCCCCGTGCTCTCAAGCTGTAACCCCGCTATCAAGAAAGTGGTTACGCAAGTGGGCCTGTGAGCTCTCAAACGCCTAAGCGTGCGCATGTGAGACAGCGATAAGCTCGCGTTCTTCGTCTCCAGGGCCTTATCATTCCTCACGCTTTCCTCCATCAGCTCGCAAAGAAACGTGGTGACCAAGGAAGAGAGCACAGACTCCAGCCTCGTTGGGGGAGGAGAATTCGAATCTCAGCCTATGAGTTTACTCAGCACACCCGTTTAATCTCTCGGTCCTTCAGTTTCCACACCTGGGAAGCTGGGACAGCTCCAGGACCGGAGTCTACACGAACTCTAGCACCCGGGAGGCGCGAGTCCAACGTCAGTTCCGCCCGACTCCGCCCCCGCCTTCTCCCTGGGCGCATGCGCCGCGCAGCGGCGCCTTTTACGACG